CCGCCTTCCCCGCCCCGCCCCGCCCCAGGTGCAGTGCAAGGCGACGCGCATTCAGCCGAGTTGCTTTACGACCGGATCAGCCGCCGGGGGCTTTTCACCAACTTCTCCGCGGCCTCCAACTTGGAGCGCTTCTCCCGGGCATTCAGGAAGCGCTTTCTTGCTCCCGGACCTCCACGAGCCGCTTCGTCCGATTTCTCGCTTTCCCCATTTCAGTTTCGTGAGTTACTCGCTTAAGCAGTAAAATATTAAATTCTGTTGGTCTCAAATTTGTTCGTGTTTCACGTTTTGTCACGACTTTCATAACTCATTTTGTTGTTTTCAGTTTTATATTTCTCTTCCCTTTTATTATGTCGATTTTCCTTATGAGTTTGTCATCAAAATATTTCCAATTTTATTTGTGTAAACTGCAAAAAATTTGAGAACAACCATTCTTATACATCGTGATATATTTTGATTTCTAGTTTTACTGAATTCAGTTTATAAAACAAGTCACAATCTGCTTTATTAATATTAAATTCACAAATCCATAGTCAAGAATTGTTTCATGGTGTGATATAAAAAAATACGTGAATCCGTTACTAGCGATATACAGTTCTGTTTAGTTATTAAATCGTTTAGTCTTATTATTATTATTATTATTATTATTATTATTATTATTATTATTATTATTATTATTATTATTGTGTGAAACAATTCACAAAGTTGAATTGGGAAGAGGAAATATTTGTAAGAAGTGTGTAAAATTTAGTGATGGACTAATAATGTAACAAGATAAACAGTAATTATTTTAATTAATCGTGATAAGCCGAATAGAACGAGGGAAAAAAGCGATGTATACAAGTGCTTAGGTTTCCGTGCTCTGTGTCGAGAGCATGCTACACGAATCCCCTGAAAACTCTGCGGTAAGCTCCCATTTAATTTGCAGCAGCGGAGGGGTTCCGCAGGGTCCCTTGTGGGTCCCCTACCCTCGCGTGCCTCGAAGGGGGCCGGTCGGAGGTGAGGGCGGGGAAAAGCACCTGTCACCCCTCCCTCGCTCCCCCACTTCCGGTTGGGTGAGGCAGCAGGTTGCGGGAGGGGGAGTGCCTTTGCGGAAGACACCGGGTCCTCGGTGCTCTTCTTAAGGGACTCTTCCTTCGTTACCAAGTATTCGCGCCTCTCAGAACCCGGTTCAGTACCACTTCAGTGTCGTGCTACGTCATCTCAAGTTTTCCATAGAAAAAATCGAGTGTGTGTGAAGTAACTTACCAAAGAGTCAAAAGAAGACATGTAGACTGTGGCGTTCAGGAAAAAGGGAGTAGGCCTACTTTAAAGGTTATTTATTGAAGAAGTGGTAACATAGATGTCTTTTAATGCAGAATTTTAATTTTGCTGTATGTCAAATTGCTTGACGTTCAGGCGTTTTTGCCGTTTGAAGATAATTTATGCTTTTGGACCAAGTTAGTTAACCCTGCCAATTGCGTCTGATCTTAGACCTGTTTTCAAGCATGTAGAGTCATGTTCGCTAAAAATAGAGGCACCTCATCAATTTATATCCAATTCCATCAATTAGATATATGCATTTTATCGAATAAAGAAACTCACCCCTCATTCATGATAGTTCCATGAAATGAGTTTTAGCATTTATACAAAAGGCAACAACACAAGGACAGAAAATTTGTTTGAGACTTCTAGTAAACAATAGAAAAAAGAAACAGTGAAATTCATTTTCCTCGAATTAATAAAACCTTGCCCTCTTGAATGCTTACTATGAGAACCACCACCAATTACTCCTCTCAAAAAGAAGAAACTGGCATGTTCCAACTTAATTGCAGCGGATTCTGGCGTTTCACCAGCTAGATACGGCTATCCAATTGTGAGATTTGTTAAGACTTACTTTTTGGCATTTAAGCCTCCCGATTGGAAAACTACCAATACACAGTTTTCACCAAAGGGCACACTTCAAAACGAGGATTGTAATGTGGTTTCGAAATTGTGCTTCGAGGTAATATTTCGACGAATTCTACCAAACTTAAAGAAATTTCTCTAAAAATAAATAACTAATTTAAAAAAAATGATATACCAATAAGCCATTTACGAAATGGGGAATGAGTCTCAAATCAGCAATCTTTCTAGTGAGTATTGTACCGAGAACCTCTGGTGTTGATGGCGAGGGCCGGAGAGTTGCTAGGGTGCTCGGGGAAAGGACGCTGTCGGTCGCCCATAGTTGCAGGTGGCCCGGTCGACGACGTCAGCGCCTCTATCGGCGAAGTCTCCATTCATAAATCAGTCAGCGAAGGGGGATGGGGGACGCCGCACCTCTCCCTTTGCTTGCCGCCCTCAACTTCCGGAAACGAACTTTGACACGAATTTCCGCCCGAGGCGAGCGCCCGACATAAATAACTTCCCGCCTCAACAAGTTACTCTCGGGAGCGAAGTGCGCTTGCGGGCGAATCTGCCGGGGGAGGGGGGAAGGAGCGGGTCGGGGCAATCGAGGGTGGGGCAAGCAGAGGTGGGTCGAACTGGGCCGGGGGGAGCTGGGGTGGGGCAAGCTGATGTGGTGCAAGGTGTGGTGATGTGAGTTGGATTGGGGAAAGCTGGGATAGGGCAATCTGGGGAAGTGTACGCTGGGAGGAGAGCCCTGCTGGAGATGGGGCGTGCTGGAGATGGGGCGTGCTGGAGTGGGGGCGCCAAGGAGGTGGGGGGTGGGTCGAGGTGTGATGGGGCAAGGCGAGATGGGGCAGCTGAGATCAGGCGAGGCAGAAGTGTGCAGGGTGCGGAGGCTTGGCGGGTTGATGTAGGACGAGGTAAAGTTGTGTTGGGCGGCTTGGGAAAGGGTGACCGACGCCAGGTGGTGTTATCGGAGTGAGTATTCGGAGAAGGGGCGTGTGTGTGGCCCAGAGAAACGTTGGCCAGCTGCGATGGAGAGAAAGGGAGGACGATCCTTAATGGGAGGGAGGATGAGGAGATGGGCTTGGCGGGAAGTGCGAGGAGGATGACGACATAACGATTTGGGTTGAGGTGACGTGATGTAAAAGAATCTCTACTGCTCCAACCAACTCTCCTCCACTGCGTAGTAGTACGTGAATGCGATTATACCACTTTAATAAAATTTAGTTTTCTCAGAATAAATGTTAAAAACTTCGACGTCATGTACGTTGGTTCCAAGATAATAGGTCTTGTCAATAAACATGTAGTGGAGAATTTCATATCAAAAGGTTACACATGTGATATTCGTCCCCTATTTGTAGGTAACTCATCAAACACTGGTATTTGGCGAGTATAAGCTACCAATCAGGGACAAACGTCACATGTCACAAACGTCACATGAAACGTCCCAAACGTCATATGAAATTTCCCAGGGAATTTCATTGCGAAAAAGGATGGCCTTGCATGCCCTGTGCATACCTTAGAAGTTTGCAACTTTTATTCTGGGTCATTCTGTAGGAGAAACCATATCACTGCGGTAAGATGACTATACACATATGCTTACATTAATGGGATTATAGAGGTTAAATAAATAGGTGAACGCACAAAAGCTTAATTAAAAACCAAAAGGCGACCGTTTGTAATTTTTAGTCCTGTATTCCTAACATCACAAATCTGATCGCCAAACATGAGTCTTAACAATTAATCAGTAATATGTTGCTGTATTCTGTAAATACAGTAAGAAGAATAATAAAATAAAAAGGTAATCAATTTACCTCTTCGAGATTCTAATGATGAAAGTTTTGAGCTACAGCGTCATCGAGTTGCCAAGTGCAGATCCGTCTCCGCGCGGAGGAACCGAAGGGGAGTCGTGGCTGGCTACGAACCCCAACCCGTCGACGGGGCCGCAGCTGCGTTTACGGGCACCCGTTTCGCGCGCTGCTTCCGCCGCCGGCGCCGGAGACGGCCGTCGCCGCTCGCGGAAACGGAGATTGCGCCACCCGCCGCAACGCGCGCTCTCTCCACCGCAGCAGCCGCAGCTTGCGCCCCCGCAGTAAAGAAGGTGCTTCGCTCGAAACGACGCGCGCGTTCGCGGCGCTTGTGCATGCCGCAATTTGCTTCCAGGCGCTTTATACGTAATTGTTCTATTTCCGTGCATAATTTTTTAAACCGCTGAGAACTGCGAAATTCGCGAAAACAGTAGTGCGTGGTGAGCAGATTTGGTTTCAAGGTAGAGTGAAATGGATGGATGAAGATCATGTGAAATTTTTAACCGTGATTTATTGAAATATTATTACTAATGACACCATCCACGAGAATTAAAATTGCGACCTGCCGATATTTACGGAAGAAATGGTTGTTTTTGTAAAAAAAAATGGGTTTGTGATAAATAAGAGGATGAACTGTTGATACTGATAAAATTCCGGTTTTGTTAGTTATTTAACGTAATATTTTTACAAAGTGAAGTGAATTATAACCATCCTATGGACTACCAGAAAATCTGTAAGATTTGCACAATTTTTTTTCTCATTAATAAATAAATACTACTTTCACCAATCCTATCTTTTAATGTGCACGTACGAACTACGTAAATCGAGATTCCACGTGTACCGCGTTTTCGCCCCTTAATATGCAGTAGGCAATCCGCTCGACTCATGTGTATTACAGAATGTAGATGGAAATAAGGAGCAAATATTGCCACTAGATTCGTATTTTTTATTTCTGTTATAAGAGCGAATCTGACAATCAGGATCGCCGTAGTGGTTGGAGCGTGTGGCGACAAAGCCTCTCAATGTAAACGGTCCTGCACTCGAATCCTCCTCTGGGCATAGATGATTGTCACTTGTCTACTTGTCTTTTGTTTGTGTTGTCGAGAACCTCATTCTCTGCTGATTACAAGTCCAGGTACAAGTATGAGCAAGTGTCTAGTATGCGGTTCATTTTTCCCATTCAAGGTTGAGCGGAAAGAACTGGCTTTATCCAGAAATAAATGTATTATGATAGGAAAATAAGAATTTTCCGAACTGAATGTGTTGAACGTCTTGAGGCATCTTCGCATCCTATTTTCCCAATCCCAAATGTTGACAGATTCAAGCGGTTGCATTGTGATGCTTCTAATTGCGTATTCTTTATTCAGAATATATATTTAATTCTTGGAAATGTTAAAAGAATGTTTGTGTATACTGTAGTTTTGGGAAATATTTTCTAAATTGTTTTCGTCAGCATGTTTATCATAATACAAGAGTTAGCTCTTGGAATGGCCACCTTCTATTAGAACTTAATACGAACTCATATTTTGAGACCCCTTTGTCATGTTCTCACTGTTATCATGTTCGCTTCGTGGTTACATTCGAATTTAAAATGAATATGTTTCTCATTTTAACGTTGCAATATTATTTATTAAAGGAAGAACTTTGTACTGTCCTTTGCAGCTATACTGCATCAAAATTCCAAACTTCCAAGTTAAGAAAACAACAAATATCACCCAAACATTTGATAAATAGAGCAGTGGATTATGATCTCTTCATACGTTTGTTCGATTCCGCTTGGAAGTGACAGCTTTGAGTCAATTGCTGTGTGCCTCCGAACAAACGAGACCATCTTCTAAGGGTTGTGGAGGTCGTCGATGATCTCTTTTGTAAATGATTATGTGGAGGGAAATATAAGATCCTGATCGATATGCTATTTTTTTACAAAATGGAAATAGAACTTTGCATGAATGTATGTGTTGTATCTACTCGTAAGGGAACGAACAATTGAGTAATGTAATGGATTGCTATGGAACCAAATTTGTGTTGATAGACGCGACCTAGAGTTCAAAAGATATGGACACATGACGATTACGTCGTGAAATTTAAAGGAAAATATTTGTTTAAATACAAATTAGTAATTTCTTTAAATGAGTAAAAGACTGGGGAACCCTTGGAGAAAGTATTAGTTATAATTAATCAATCGGAGGTTCAAGAATGCATAACGAGATATCCGCGAACATGGAGCAGGTAACAGTTTGCCGATTGAATAGCCATCTAAAACTTTCGGACAATATAATTGTTTTTGATGGAACTTGAAGGTATGTATTTGACAATAGTCAAGAGTGAGAAGTTGGCAGTGACGTGAGGTAAGTGGAAATCATCGGCAGTTGAAATTATTGAAATTGATCTTGATTTTGAGCGCCAATGGGAGCAAATACTGTTGCGGGACGAAGTTCGTAGATGCATAACACAATTCATCGGGTAATGAGTACCGGCAGGTAGGCGTTCTGAGAAACTTTTCATGACTGCCAAACACCAGTGAAAGAAGAGGTGCCTAACAATCAGCAAATTCATTTTTATTATATTTCCCTCCTCCATGTTCATTCAATGAACTTCATTGACCAAAGTTATTATTTTCACCCCCTCCAAAAAAAGACATTTCTCATATATGTTCGGAGATATATGTAGTATACACTACTTGATACACGGGGTTCCAATCGATTAACTGTTTAAGATCACGTCGGTCTCATTTAACGCACATCGCCGTAGGATTATTCCTGCCAATCAAACATGCACACAGTCGTTC